GTTTTTGAGCATATCATCTTGGTTCGTGTACGAAGGTTATATGTTGAAAGTGTAGTTCCTATCTGATCGATTAATATCTAGAAGAAGAATTCTTTTTCTAATCATCGATGTTTATTGAAAAATGTATTTCACTACCATCTTTTGCACAAATTTTCGAGTTGACAGCCTAAAAAAAAATTTCGCGTATCCAGAGTATTCCATGCTGCTCAGGAATAGAAACGTTTCCATTTCAAATACTATAGATCGATCTCCTTTCAATAGTAAACTCAGTTTTCTTTACTTTGAAGTTCAAACCCTTCCCTTGTGTAGGTGACCGATGGCTGGCTATGCCAAGTTACAGAATAAAGTGTAAAGATGTCGTAAGTGATCAATTTATCCGATATTTACCATGTATGGGATATTCATTTGGACTTAAGAAAGATATTCATTAGAAATGAACTTTTCATCAATGTTTATAATTTTATCAAATATATAAAACTTTTTTTCTTTTTTTAATTTCCAATGAAGCATTTCAATCTAATAGGTTTTTCATGCAGATGTTACGGTAGAAAGAATTAGATAGTAATTCTATAAGTATTTACTCCTAAAAAATGATATTTTATTACTTGTTAGTACACGATTGTTGTCAAAGATGATATCTTTATTCGTTTTATATTTTAGATACATCAAACAAGTTAATTATGATGAAGGAATTTCTCGTCGAGAATAGTTTAATTTTCCGTGATTATTCTTAGATGCACACTTAACAATAAAGTATTTTTCATTCAAATGAAAAATGTTAACACACGAAGATGAAAATTCATTGAATTTCTAATTAAGATATTTTTATCTATCGATTTGAAGAGTACAAAAAATTTTTCTTCTTTATTATTTCAGCTAAATATTTAATTAAAAATCATTGAAGTAATATTAAAATATCATCTAAGATAAATCTTTAATTTCGTATTCTTCAAATATTGTTCTAAATCAATTGTAAAATTCTACATTCTAACATTGTCTCTGATGGACAATATCGAAAAGTTTTTATTCTATTTTCGGTTTATTTTAGAACGTATAAGAATAATTAGAATATCGTGATATGACTCAATTATAACGTATTTTATCAAAAATGTCTTTAGGAGAACATTGCTTAACATGTTAATCGTTAAATTACATCTGATTTATAGCTATGAAATGTAAATGTTGAAAAACAAGTTGAACAATAATCAAAAAACAAAAATTTCATTTTACATTAAATGTACATTGTACAATATCTTTTATTGTTAAAATTTTTTCAAATAAATTAAAAGATTTTTATTGAAAACTATCATATTATATTTTAATTAACGTTTAGAAAGATATGTCATCTAGATTATTATTTCGTTTTACTGCTAATCATCGTCAATCATTTGGACTTTTAAAAAATGTTCAATTAGCTTTTAAACGATCATCAGCCATAACCACTCCAATTAAAAAACCACTACGTAAGATGTTGTTTGTTTTTGTGTCTGATAAAGTCTTGACCTATTCTTCTTTTAGCACCACTATCAGAAGGTGCAAAACAACGTATAGGTCTATGGCTTGCTTGGTCAGCAGGTATGACAGCAGGTGCTGTTGTTATTGGTGGTATGACACGTTTAACTCAAAGTGGTTTATCAATGACCAATTGGCATTGGCTTAATGATATGAATCCACCACGTACAACTGAAGCATGGCAAGAAGAATTTGAACGTTATAAACGTTTTCCTGAATATGAACAAATGAATCGTGAAATGACATTAGATGAATTTAAAAAAATTTATTATATGGAATTTGCACATCGTATGTGGGGTCGTGCAACAGGACTTATATTTACTTTACCAGCATTTATTTTTTGGAGACGTGGATTATTTGATAAAGGAATGAAAATACGTGTTTTAATATTTGGTGGATTAATTGGAATACAAGGTGCATTAGGTTGGTATATGGTTAAATCAGGTTTACATAAAGAAACATTAATTGATGGACGTGCAAGTGTTTCACCATATAGATTAGCTGCACATCTTGGTACAGCATTTATTCTTTATTCAGGTCTTTTATGGAATTCTTTTAAGTAAGATTAATTATTAAATTATAAAAGATTTTTATTTATTTATATTTAATTTAAGATATTTAACTAAACCTGATGTTTATGCTTCAACACGTATTCCACGTGGTTGGGCAATGGGTGTTCATGGTTTATTAACTCTTACTTTAATAACTGTAATAGCTGGTGCATTTGTTGCTGGTTTAGATGCTGGTCTTTGTTATCCAACATTTCCAAAAATGGGTGATTATTGGATACCACCAGAATATTCAACATTAACACCATGGTATAGAAATCTTTTTGAAAATCCTGCTGCTGTTCAATTTAATCATCGTGTTCTTGGTCTAACAACAACAGCAGCTATATTAACTTATTCATTAGCTTCACTTTCAGTTAAATTTGGTCGACGAGCAGCAACAGCTAGAAATCTACTTGCAGCAATGGTTATTTTACAAACATCATTAGGCATTGGAACACTTTTATATCATGTACCTATTTCAATGGCAGCAGCACATCAAACTGGTTCACTTGCTTTACTTTCATTTGCTCTTTGGTTAGGTTTTAATTTAAAACGTGTCCCAAAAATATGAATTGATGAGAAATTATGACTGTTATTCATTTGTTATTCTAAATATATGCTTTAGAAGATTTCACGCTAAATAGAATTGTACAAACAACTATTTGATTTATAATATGTTCTTTATGAATACAATGTTGTTTAGGATATTTATGCAACTTTAATTGATTATTATTATTATTATTATTTTCCTTTTCGTAGACTAGTCTTGAGGATGCGACAAAAGTTTTGGAAAGTTTTTTTCTTTGTTTTGTATGTATCTTCTCCTTCAAGAACATGGTAGAAGACTAGTTTTCTTTCTTGAAAGATATTTCATTTAATATTCTATCCGAATTATAAATCCAAATGTTGATAACTAATATATTCAAGTTGATTATTGTTGAATTATAACTCAAAAATGAAATCAAACAATTCATTCAAAAAAAAAAGCCTTCAACACACTTTCCAAATGTTACGAATTGTTTTTTTTTTAGATTAATTGAAAATATGATCACACGAACAAAAAAATTCAACTGGTCGTCAAGCTGGCTTTTTTGTTTTTTTAAGGGTTCTTTCAATCAAAAAAAAATTCAAGTGAATCTAATGATATATTACTAAGAAAAAAATTTATTTAGTTTCAGAAAAGAAAATCTATACTTAATGATACTTTCTGGAAGCATTGATGTGAATAAACTCGCTGTTGATGATCTCTGTGAATGAATTATTTGTTAATAATCACGTCAAACGATTGTTCGCACTACCATCAGTAGACTGACAATAAATGAGCGACCAGAGAATTAACTATCGATATACTGCAGTAGAATAACAATCAAAGTATAACCAGTTATTTAAACTATCAAACTACTGTCTCTACTGTGTACATTATACCAAACGATTTATCGACGACTTTTATCAAGTTTTAATCATATAGAGATTAGCTTTAAATAATTATTTTTCCAAAAAAAAAAAACTCTATTTGAATATTAAATCTACAACTAAAATAAATGTAATTCTATTTTGTAAACGTCAAAATTCCAGTTAATAAAAAAAATCATTCTACATGATTCATCTTCATTTTGTCGATATATAATATTATTTGCAAAATGTATTAAAATATGGTAGAGCAACCTTTGAATTGTCGAACCGATTTTTTATTGTAGTACGTAGTTTAAGTAGAAAATTCGATCAAAATAAGCGAAATGAGGTATCTTTAAAAAACGAGCTCTTCTAAATTCAACCAACAAAAAAACTTTCAAAAAACAAAGATCGTCCAATAAAACAAGCACGTTTAAATTAAATAAAATGCCTTCAAATCCTAGATAGTTTTTCTTTCCACTAAAACTACACAGAAGAAGAAAATATGAAAGATATTTAAAAATTTGTTCCATGAACTTTTTGTTTTTTTTTCATCAGGCAATATTTTATTAGATTGATGACAATCACAAGTATCCTTGTAAAACGAATGTCCTTCATAGAAAATGGTTTGAATAAGATACTTGTTGAAGAAAAAAAAAAATGTCCTTCTTTTAAATGGTTGTATGTAATCATTTTTCAATTAAGACCTTTGTCATTTTCTTTGATATTGGACATTCTCAGAACATGTATAAAATAATACTATTTAGTATATGATTTCTTAAGTAAAAATTGACAAAAAATAATAATATAAACTATTTTTCTTTTATTCTAAAATTATGATTTGAAAATAGTTGTAATTGATTATGAATCATCGATTTCTATAAAATAAATTTATGTTTTGTTTTGTTTTTTTGAATAAGTTAGAAAAAAAAATAACGATTAAATTTGAGTTAAGCTTCAAATCTTTTTTTATTTTTTATCTAATATATCATATACTATAGAGATCAAAAAATAAAATTCATTAGCAACCAATTTTTATTTATAAGAATTATTAGAGAAAAGAAAAGTTGATTTTATTTAAAAAAAATACTTTCAAATAGAAGACAATCACACACATTAATATATTCTAATAGATCTTTAATTTTGTTTCCATAAGCTTACTAATATTATAAAAAAATAATTAGTTTTTGTATTCATATACAATTGAAAAAAAAAAGAAGAAAAACAAAAAACATTTTAAGATTAAAAAAAAATGTCTTTGCAGTGCATATAAAAAATAGAATAACAAAAAAACATAATACTCTCTCTGGTTTTTTTTGTTTTTCTAAAATGAAGCATCACATTACAACTTACATTATTTACGGTTTGAGATAGATGAGAATAGTTTATTTTTGTTTTTCTTTGTATGTTTGTGCAAGATAAACTTGATTCTAAGGTGAAGAAGGTGTTAAAAGAATAAAGAAGAAGAAGAAGAAAGGGAAAGGAATTTGAAGCTAACCGTAAACTAATCTATTGAAATTCTAAATATATTTATTTTTTCAAATTTTAATCTTGTATGAATTGACGACTTCTTTCAAATGTATCATAATCATCCATATGTCCATCTGAATAACGATATGATGAATAATAATGATGCCATGGTTGAGAACTCTGAAGAAAATTTTTGTTTTTTTTTATAGCAAAAATTAAAAATATTCTTTCTTACATAAGAACTTAAATTACGACGAAGAGTATTAATAACTTTATTACTAAGATCAGCTGCTGGTGAATATCGATAACGATAACGAAATGAATCACGAAGTAATGTAGAACTCATTAAATGACGTGGTGGACTACTGGAGTAGATATCTAAAAAATGAAAAATTAAATTGTTAATTTATAAAATTTATGTTTAAGTTAAATCACAATAACTATGAGAATAGAATTACAAGGACTAGGAATTTAACAAAACTATTTAATGAATATTGACTTACGTTTGGAAATCATGACGAACTGTTGCTAGAAAAGCAAAAGATTTTGGATCCATGTTTTCTCTTTTTTTTTTCTTTTTTATAATATACTAGTTCCCAAGAGTTTGACTTCTATTTATGAATTATTTATCAAACAAAAAATCTAGAATGTCTTACCATTATCTCCTGTATAATCATTGTATAAATCTCGTGAAGGTGATCGTGAACGTTCTCGATTATCAAAATTCATTGATTGAGATAATCTAGGTGAACGACGAGATGGTGATAATGAACGAGCTCGTCCATCTAATGGACTAATACTTCGACCAAGAACAGGAGAAAGTGATCGAGAACGATAAAAACCACTATCAAATGAATTTAATGTAGTTGATTTTTCTGGTCGTGCTAACTTATAATTATTAACAACTAAAGCATCTTTAAATATAGTATGAGATTTTGGTTGACGACCAATAAGATCATCAGTAACCTATGAAATAATTTTATTTTTTATTTTTTCTAAAATAGAATAAAATTTTCTTACATGTCGAACAACAAATGGTGGTCGTCCTTTTGTTTTATCAATAGGAATGATATAATTTATATCTCGATCAACAGCTAATTCACGTAGTTTTTCTTCAGTTTCACGTTGTGCATAATCATTTCGTAGTGCTGATGACATTGTATGTGATGTAAATGAACGTGACATATTTGCCGAATCATTTAAACGAGGTCTATTCAATTATCTTCATAATTTTTCAAAAAAGAACAACTAAATAAATACAAAAAATAAATTACCTTATTGGATATGTAGATGATGGTTTCCATATGGGTGATCTCGATCTTTTCGGCTATTGATAAAACACAAAATTTTTCTTTTTTCATAAAAGTAAAAATTTTTGATCTCTTACAATTTTTATTTCTCTACGAATTGTTGTTGGTAATGTAAGACCAGTTATATCATCAATAGATGGAGTAGTACTAAATTCAAAACAAGGTGAAATTCCAGGAAAATCAATTGTTCGAGCAAGAAGAACGTAACGACGTAAACCGGTATATTCAATACGATTTGATGAATGTGGATAAAGAAAATCTTTTGCACGTGCTTCATAACTAGCCAAAAGAATAGGTGATGGAATATCCTTTTGAATTAGTTCAATAAGAATATGTTCACCTAGTTTTCAAAAAAAAAAACAAAACCCGTTGTTCAATTCGATTAGTTCTTTCTTTGTTTTTATAAAATCTTACGTTCCAATCGTTGAATTATATCTTCAGCATCATAACAGAATTTAAAAACCTATATATATATTTAAAGATTTATTTTTGTTTTAGGAATTTTTTCCAAAATTTACTTTATCAAAAAACAATTTTTGATCAATATGCATAGGTAAATGAGGTGGCATTAATCGTGTTCGTTTATGTACACCCAATATACATATATTTAAATAAATATCACCTTTTCTTATTAAATGAGTACCGGGTGCATCAACAGCATGAACATTAAATTCAACTGAATATCTGTAATCCTTGTTTGGCGCTGCCATTACTACTGTTCTTTAGAAGGTACTGAAATAATAATAACGCTGAAAGAAAAAAAAAATTTTACAAATGTCTATTACAACCGCAAAAAATAAGTTAGCTTCAAGTAGCCATGAGTCAATAACGTTTTATTTGTAACGATGACAGTCTTCATCGTATTTTACTTCTAAAATTATTTTATAAATAAATAAAAAATGAGAGAAGATTTTTAATTAATAATTTCGATAAATTTCAATAAAAAAATGATGTAAAAAAATTAGTGACATCTATTAATAATTAAAAATAATTTTTAATAAACATAAAAATTCATTTAGATAATAACTTGAAATTTTTCTTAATAATATTTAGTATTTTAAAATTTATCGAAGACTCATATAAGTATCCAATGGTGAAACATTGTCATATGAAAAGAAACAAATGTTGTTTTTGTTCATTCGTTTACACCTTTGTTTATTTCTATTCTAAGTCAACAACATATATACTATATTGTTATATTTATACGAATTTTTACATAGATTTTACTTTAAAACAGAATGACAGATGATATAAAAGATACATCTAAAGAACTCGATACATGGATTGAACAATTAAAAGAATGTAAACAATTACAAGAGAATCATGTAAAATTTCTTTGTGATCGAGCCAAAGATATTCTATCAAAAGAATCAAATGTACAAGAAGTTCATTGCCCAGTAACAGTCTGTGGTGATGTACATGTAAGAAAAATCATTGAAATATTTTCCCATCTTTATATTATTAATATTTGTTTATTTTTCTATAGGGACAATTTCATGATTTAATGGAACTTTTTAAAATTGGTGGTAA